TCCCGGAAAACCCGGAACGCGGCGGGATCCCGAAATCCACGGGAGGCGGAAATCCCGGGAATTCCGGCCCCCAATTCCGGTGGGATCTCGGAATTCCATCCTGGAATTCCACAGCGTCCCAAACCCGGCCAGCGCCGCGGGGATTCCCGAAATTCCTGGGGATCCCAAAAATTCCTGGGGATCCCAAAAATCCAAAGGGATCCCAGAAATCCGGTGGGATCGCAGCTCCTGCTCCGGGCGCTCCCGGGTTTTATTCCTTGAATCTCTCTGGGGGAATTCCCCTGGAATTCCAGGAGAATCCAGCAGGAATTCCAGGGGGAATCCCACCGGAATTCCAGGGGATTCCCATTGGAATTTCAGGGGGATCCTGCAGGAATTCCAGAGGAATCCCAGGAAAACCTTGTTGGAGTTCCAGGGGAATCCTGCTGGAATTCCGGGAGAATCCCACGGGAATTTTGAGGGAATTCCGGCAAAATTTTTGTGGGGAATCCCCCTGGAATTGTGGGAAAATCCCACTGGAATTTTGGGAGAATCTTGGTGGAATTCCAGAGAAACCTCACTGGAATTCCGGAGGAATCCCGCTGGAATTTTTGCTGGAATTCCGCGCGCTCCCGGCTCGGTTCTCCCGGATTTTCCGGTTCCGCTCCGGGATTTATTCCCAGATTTTGGGATTGGGAACGGAGCTCGGGATTTTTCCACGGGAGAAGGACCCGGATCCCAGGCGGGAACGAGATGGAATTCCCGACGGGATCCAGATCCGGATTCCGGACGGGAACGGCGCGGTCCCGCGTGGGGACGTCAGAATTCCATGTGGGAATGCCGAGATCCAGCGGGAACGTGTCGGAATTCCGTGCCGGAATGTCGGGATTTCGTGCGGGAACCCCGGAATTCCGCGTGGAAATGTCGGGATCCCGCGCGGGAAGGTTAAAATTCCACGTGGGAATGCGGCGATCCAGCGGGAATGTGTCGGAATTCCATGCGGGAATGTCGGAATTCCACGTGGGAATGTCGGGATCCAATGGGAATATCAAGATCCCGCGTGGGAACACCGGAATTCCAGGCGGGAATGTCGGGATCTTGTGTGGAAACGACGCAATTCCACGTGGGAAGGTTGGAATTCCGCGTGGGAAGGTTGGGATCGGGCAGGAATGTGTCGGAATTCCAGGTGGGAATGTCCAGATCCCGTGTGGCAACATCAGAATTCCATGTGGGAACGTCGGGATCCTGTGGGAACGTCAGAATTCCATCTGGGAACGTTGGGATCCCGTGCGAGAGCGTCGAAATTCCACGTGGGAATGTGGGGATCCGGCGGGAATCTGTCGGAATCCCGCGTGGGAACGTCGGGATCCAGCGGCAACGCGTCAGAATTCCACGTGGGAACGTCGGGATCCAATGGGAATATCAAGATCCCGCGGGGGAACATCAGAATTCCATGTGGGAACGTCGGGATCCAGCGGGAACGTTGGGATCCGGCGGGAATGTCGGGATCTGGCGGGACCCCGCGCTCTCCGGGCAGAGAATCCCGATAAAATCTTGGCTCTGCCGCTTCCGGCCTGATCCCTGATCCCGGGGGGGCTGGGGAGGGGATCCGGGAACGGGAACTGGGATCCGGGAACTGGGATTTGGGATCCGGGATCCAGGAACTGGGATTTTGGGATCCAGGAACTGGGAATTGGGATCCGGGAACAGAAATTGGGATCTGGGAACCGGGAGCGGGAACGGATTTGGGATCCAGCCCCGGGAACTGGGATCTGGGAACGGGAACTGGGATTTGGGGTTGGGAATTGGGATCAGCACAGAGGAATTGGGATCCAGGGTTGGGAACTGGGATCTGGGCCCCGGAACTGGATCCGGGCGTGAGAATTGGGATCCAATCCCCAAAATTGGGATTTGGGGGTCAGGAATTGGGATCCAGGATCAGGAACTGGGATCCAGGGTCAGGAATTGGGATCTGGGGTCGAGAATTGGGATCCGGGATCAGGAACTGGGATCTGGGGTCAGGAATTGGGATCCGGGATCAGGAATTGGGATCTGGGATCAGGAATTGGGATCCGGGATCAGGAACTGGGATCTGGGGTCGGGAATTGGGATCCAGGATCAGGAATTGGGATCCGGGATCAGGAACTGGGATCCGGGATCAGGAATTGGGATCTGGGGTCAGGAATTGGGATCCGGGATCAGGAATTGGGATCCGGGGTCAGGAATTGGGATCCGGGATCAGGAATTGGGATTTGGGGGTCAGGAATTGGGATCCGGGGTCAGGAATTGGGATCCGGGATCAGGAATTGGGATCCGGGATCAGGAATTGGGATCCGGGATCAGGAATTGGGATCCTGGGATCAGGAATTGGGATCCGGGATCAGGAATTGGGATCCAGGGTCGGGAATTGGGATCCAGGATCAGGAACTGGGATCCGGGATCAGGAATTGGGATCCGGGGTCAGGAACTGGGATCCGGGCACGGGAGATCCGCAGGGATTTGGGGATCCGGGATCCATCCCCGGGAATCCCTGGGAATGTCCCTCCTGCCCCTCCCCCCCCGGGATCTCCCGGCTGGGATCGGGCGGATCCCGGCCC